AATGGTTTGCACATTGAATCTTTCATCGTTTTGGTGAGAAAGAATAAGTAAAGGAATCATTGCATTTATAAACATTATACTTGTATATATTTAGAATGTTTGTTGGAAATCTTATATAAATTGTTCCATCGAGAATCTAAAATTATGAATGTATTAATTATACACTGATAAATCCAAAATTTTACTCAATATAATGCAGTATTAATTAGAAAATACAAACAAAAAGAAAACGTCGCACCAATATTTGGTTATGTCAAATTTAAATTAATTTATGGACAAAAATTTGTTTGTCACAGTACGTATTATTGGAATTTGAAAAGATTTGATTAGTATATGTTTTCTTCTTCGTTCGACGATGGTTTATAACTACATAATATAACTACGCATGAAAAGATTAATATTAATCGAAAACAGATGATATTACGACCACTAGCACATTCCATGTTGCAAATTCAAAGAACTACAATCTCGTATTCCATGTAGCATTTGTACCTTTCATTTAAACTTGCGTTGTGATTAATGTAATTTATTTATTGTATGCGTGCGTAACGTGCTGCGATCGCGCGAATTTTCATACAGGGAAAAGAAAATTCGTGGAGACATTCTTTCGAAGAACTGTTACATTTCCCTTGTGACTTTGTCTAAGAATTCCAAGGGAGAACGATATCATGCGAAAACGTAAATGGCGGATAGAATGATGCCTGTTTGAATGTGCGAATAGATTTGTCTAGAAGCTTTTTTTAGAATTACACATATCATGCGAGGTGGCGTGAAAATGTATCTTCGATAATATGCTCGATCACACCGCGCAATATTAGACATTCGTAAATTTTAGATCTTACAAACAAACTATCGAACTTTTCTTTATATCGAGTCAAATAAACAACATGACTGGTTTTTTAGGAACGATTAAACGTTTGCTATTTGGAGGTCTTTTTCAAAGTATTCGAGGGATCCTTTTTTGTTCAATTATGCGTCCGAAAGAATTTCTGTTCAATGTTATACAAATCACTGTCATAGTCAGTTGAACAAAAGCGATATAAGCTGGGAAGTTTGAAAAATAGCAAAAAAAAAGGTAAAAACTTCAGATTACCATTTCCTTGGACCAAGCTGCACAGAATATTTTAGTCGTGCCTAAATTCAGTTGCTATTTTCTCTAAGAAACATAATTACGTCGTAGTGACACGATCTTTGTGAATTTTTCGAATATCGAATTCTTCGAAAGTCCCAGAGATATTTACTAAAATGTACACTGCGCGTCGAACATGCAAATGACAAAGCGAAAGACATTTTTGTTATCGAAAGGAAAAAAAAGTGCGTTTGTTGTTACGAACGGAGACAAGAGGTGAAAGAACGTAGGATTAGTCAGATCGTGCGACTCAATTGTAAACGACTCGACGAGAAACTATGTACCACACAAGTTCCTTGCTTCAACCAATTTCGTTATTTATACAAGTGAAAGGGAGGAAAAGGGGTGGGCGACCGCGAAGACATGGATCGTTCGTACGTTGTTTAATCACAGTAACGAACCTGTGATCCTAGAGCTGTTACCGACGGATGGTTAACTGCGCGATGAAAAAAAAAAACGAAAAAAGCAGAAAGATAAAAAGAAAAACACATGTGATTAACTTAGCTAAACTCACATAGGACTGACGGACTTTACTTATATTATATTATATTATATTATTGTTTTAGTGCCTAACTATTTTTACGCGAATAAAGAGAGAAAGAGAGAGAGAGAGAGAGAGAGAGAGAGCGTGAGTGCTAGAGAAAACGAGAGAGAGAGAGAGAGAGAGAGAAAGATTAAAACCGAAACCGTGTATGACTCGCGAATGGGTTTCCGTTTTTTAGCCGCCGCCTTTGTGTCGTGAAACGAAAACGCATAAATTGCGAATAGAGAAAAGGAAAAAAAAAGAAACAAACGATAAATGCTCAGATACCAATTATCCACGTTCGTGTGTGTACAGTCGGTGGACTAACGTGTGCTGACTGGAGGCTATTATTTTTATACCTTAATTAACGACTGTGAGAACGAGAGCGAAGAGAGTGTTTAGCGGACTGCGCCGACCTTAGCAGCTTCCTTTTTTCTCGATGATCCGTACCGTTCGCCGTCGTTGTATTATAATTGATTATTAGGCTTATATAGCGGGGCGTGTACCCATCACGCTCCGACTCCCGTTGACTAAACGATTGTTTTATTATCGGTACACCCGACACCATTTGTATATGTATATACGTACTACGGCATCGTGAATTATTTAATGAAAGTTAGTTTAAGTGTACAGATGAATCTGTGTAACGATATCTGCGATAATGTGATCCGATTAATAAATACGATATTACGTAGCCATTGGGATTTTTACTTATCTGGTCTGGGATCAGTCTCCCGGTACTTTTGCTTCTTCTTTTTTTAATTAGTTTAAATTGTACTGTTTAATTAAGGAGATTATAACGTGTACGGTTTAGCCATGCAAACGGTATATATAATTTAACATGTTGTAGGATGAGTGGATATTTTGAATCGTAATTTTGTGGTCTTCTTTTGGATAGTGAAGGAAACGTTATAATTATTTGTCTCTAAATTTGTTAATTTTTTGTATCAGTCGTAATTGTACAATTAGAAATGTGCCAATTTTTTTTTTTTTTAATTGGTTATTTAAAGTCGCATCAACCACATTTATGGGTTATTAGCGACTTAATGTCTAGGTTTACAGTTTATTATATAATTTGGTATGCTTTAAAGAGTTTAGTAAGTTCTGAATCGATTTGCAGTCCCTCAGGACTCAAATTCTCAATTTTGTTATGAGAATTTGTTTGCATTTGCAATTCCATGTATTTTTAAAATTTGAATGGTGACGAATTATTTCTATTTAATTTTTATTAACATCTGAATTGTTCTTAAGTTTGTATCTATATTTTTTGCAGCTGTTGAAAGACGTTGCTTTTCTAATTTTGCTTAAATATTCACAATGATTAAGACTCCCTCGGTAAGAAGAATTTTAACCATCTTCAGGTTATCAATGTATAATAATCGTACATCGTCATGTCATGTATGTGCATTCGTTATGTGAATATTTATTTAGGTTACTTTGCTTGCAATAATTAGGTAAGTTATCATTCTAAAAACTAAGGAAAATTGAAATTTACCGCTTTTCGTATAATATATTGCATGCATGTGAGTTCTATTTAAACTTGTAATATAATTTTCACTTTTTTCCACGTTTACAATTGATAACTGATTAACAGAGCATTTAACCTTCTCTTAATTGTATTTAGTATGAATTTTCATATGTTAAATATTATACATTTTTAATGTATCAAGAGTTTAAAAGAGCGAAAATTACAAATTGACAATTTATAATCCAATTTATAATTAAACAGAAAAAGTATTTTTAATGTTATCTATACTTTCCTTTGGATGAAATAGAAGCGAGATTTGTCAAGAATGTATAAAGTCAGGAATTCTACTTAAAATTTAAATGAATCTTGGAAAGCTAAAGTAGAAACATTTAGTTCGCTAGATTTCTAATTACATAGCTATTCATTTTTAAAACATTTTTCCAGTAGAAAAATAAAGATTTCTTTTAGAATGCTTAAGCAGCCACGAAATTTCAAAGCAACAATGATTACAAAAGAATTTCTTGTCAATTTGTGCATATTCGTATTTAACATTATTTCTAAAATGAACAAGTATTGTATTTCGAACGCTTTGTCTTCTATAAATCTCGCTGTACAATATAAAATCTCACGGAAATGAAAATGAATCTCAAGAGACTAAAGCCAAGAGAGTAGGCAGGAACTCCTTACAGGAAAATTCTTTCTGTTTTCAGATGTCTGGTTAGCCAAGGACTCGGTAATTACGTTTCCTTGGTAGACGCGCCGATAAAATCTACTTCGCGCCAATAAATAGTAAACGTAATATCGATACTACTGCGTATAAATTGCAGACAGCTCTTAGTCTAGAAATCAACGGAAGAGAGAAAGAAACATCGCGAGGCAACCATATTTGTAACCCTAAAGGATCTAAAATTCCAATCTCCAAATTTGTAACTTCGAGTATTTTTCATAACACTATCGTTCAAAATATTGTTACTTCTCATTGACAAAGAAATCAGGGATAGGTCGTTTTGCGTCTCACGTTCGAAAAATTGTAGATCATTCGTGATCTATAGAAATTGACGAAAGAAAAATGAAAAAAAAAGAAACGCGAGGCGACTAAATTTGTAACTTTAATTGCGTTAAAGAATCGAAAGCCTCAAATTTTCAAGTTTGTAACTCCAATTACGCTGAAAAATCGAAAGCCTCAAATTTTCAAGTTTGTAACTCCAATTACGCTGAAAAATCGAAAGCTCCAAATTTCCGAATTTGTAACTCTACGTTGAAAAATCGAAAACCCCAAATTTCCAAATTTGTAACTCCAATTACGTTGAAAATTCCAGATTTCCAAATTTGTCACCTTGAATATTTCTCCTAATACCATCGTTCAAAAGCATCGACTCCACATTGACGAAGAAATCGGCAAGAGGTCATGAAACTTGGGTCCCACGTTCGAGAAGCGATCGCACAATACGTTTTCACACTGCAATAAAGTATCTAGTTAGGATCGCCTCGGGTCAAACAACAGAACTCAGTTATTTTACGACAGTGCACGAGGTCAACGATTGAAATTCAACTGCTTTCACGTATCATCGTTGGAAGTCCAGGAACGAAACTTCCGGATATTTCATCGGAGGAAAAAGAAGGGGAAGAACCTTACAGAGTTCTAAGGAACTTGTGATACGGCCATGAAGTAAGGCTAACCGAGACCTGCTTTGAAACCGTTTCTTTGTCTGACTCCTTGTTCCTTGTCGATGACAGCAGTTTAGGAAAATTGAAACGCACAGAACGCGCGAACGAAGATCAAGACGAAGGAGATGATTATGATCCTGTTGCTCATCGTCCTCCGGATCGACCTCTGACCTCGTAATCAATTACATTTTCATTATTTTCTCTTCTCTTCTTCTGCATTCTTTAACATAATGACAGCAAGTAGAAAATGTAGCTAATTTTATTTTTCACTTGGAGGAATTAATTATAGTAATTTAGTTTTGCAAATTTATTATAAAAGTGTTTTTTTATTTCAGAAATCGTTAATTTTTAGATATCTGCAAAAATAACTCTAAAGGTCAGCTATTTTTATGTGAAACAGTGACTAAAATTAAAATCAAAATTATACTATTTAAGAAGAATAATGTCATAATTTAAAATAGGGCTGTTTTGATAGTACGTCTTTTTTTAATAGCTAGCAATATGCATAAATAATATTTTATTAGAGACCCTCAAAATCCAAATGAAATTCCGAATATTTTCGGTTTTCAGTTGTTTCATGTTGTAATTCCTTCGAGACCAAAATTTCAGGCATATAAATAAACCTGAAGAATAATTATAGATTAGTCAATATTTTCAGACTTAAAATGAAGTTTGCCTGCTCAAAAATATTTTTTCACTTCGAATTTGAAAACATGTCACTCACCTAGCAATGTTTAAAAATAATAACAATCTTGTTGTTACTATTAGTTACCAGTTGATCTACTTAATATTTCCTTCGTTAATCAAATCAACACAAATAAAACATTGTTCATTAACGTCGTAAAAAAATGATCTCAAAGTGGCCCAAAAGAAAAATTACATCACACTTACGACACAAACATTACAATATTATCCAATACTTCATAAAGAACAAAATTCTACTCCCAACGTGACAAAGAAAGGTCTCCGTTCTTTTTTCCACCTACTTTCTAACATTCTAGAAACAAAGTTCCACATTTCCTTGACAAAACTAGCGTTATGTACCACTATGAACGAAAAAAGAAAAAGAAAAATTGATTTCTAACCGAACGATAAAACCTCTTTCAGAGATTTTGTCGTGCTTATGCATCTGCTGAAGGCTTCGGTTGGTAACGGATTACTTTTCTTGCCACACGGATATAAAAGAGCTGGCTATGTGATGGGAATAATTTGCAGTATATTCATTGGTGTATTGTGCACTCACACGGTGGTCACGTTGGTAGGTAAACTTGGACGTAAAAGGAAGAAAAAAGGTACACCGACTTTTGTAGCAATTAAACGAAACGATTGTGCAAGGTGTTGGGTAATTAGGTGAAAATAATTAAAGGTACGAGGAAAGGAAGTTATAGTTGCCGAAAAAATGATTTTTATCGTTCCGTGAAGTTGAGTGTTCCAAGTGAAAGTTTAATCGTGAATTTTAATTTTATTAATTATTCGAATTTGATTTGAAAAGAAGGTACTTAACGCTAGAGTAACCGGAGTTAAATATAGTATATTTTCTCCCTTTGAAACTAAAAGGATTCATGGAAAATAAATTAGTATACAGTATAATTATTTGTTTATTTCAAGAGAAGTTATCGCATACTTGGCCAGAGGCATCTTAATCATTTCTGTAATTTAAAGCACGAATTCTGAAATCCGCCATTTTGACGGGTTTGGTTGTTCTAGTGTTAAATCAGATATTATATGAATAATCAATGAAAAGTATTTCTATATTCATAGCAGACAGTGTATTAAATTTCAAAAAAGCATTTTTCCTTGAAAAATTCTTTTCCTGCTCAAAGAAAAATGGTAAAATTAATTTCTAAGATTTCACTTACAGTTACTATTTAATATATCCAAAAATACTACTCCGTTCGACAAATTCCAGGACAAATCAAGTGAAATACAAATTATTTATTCATTCGGCAATTTTTATCGACCGGTTAGGTCACTTTCAAAGTATTAACTATCAACGTGGAAAAATTAGCTGTGCAAAAGAGTTGTTTTAATTAGATTCTTGGCATGCAGGTACGATGTTCTCAGATATTGTGTAAACGTCATCACATACCGATGCTGGATTTTGCTGGAACAGCGGAGGTCGCGTTTGAAAATGGTCCGGAAAGAATTCGAAAGTACTCGAAAATATTTAGCATCATAACGAACGTGATTGTTTGCTTCGTTCACATCCAAGCTGGCGTGATATACACCCTCTATGTCTCCTCTTCGTTTCAGCAAGTGAGAAACGAGTCGTAAGGTTCTCTTTCATTCATTCATGCTGTGGTGACGAAGTCGATATTCTGATTCATCGACGGATCGAACGAAACACGCGATGATTGTCGAAATTTTTCAGTATCATGACGTTTAAAACGTTCAGAATATTTAGGGAAGTTAAGGGTTAAAGAGTTTGACAAAGAGATATCTTTTCTTGATTTCTGAAGACTTTTGCATATTTTGTTTTGCTTAGAGAAATCATTGGTTTAACCCTTTGAGCTACTAATTTTTTAAACTTTTCTTTTCAGTAACCCCCTATTATTTTGAGTGTTGCTTATTTAGGTAAAAAAAAAAAAAAAAAAACAAATATTGCGAAATATAGTACATATTTAAACTGGCAATTGAAAAATGTCGAGGCATACTTGAGAAATGTGTTCAAAGGGTTAATATAGTTTTAAAGAGACAACTGTGTAACTCGCAGAAGTTACGAAGTTAGATAATTAGAATACTAGCAAGATATTTTCAAGAATTTTATTAACAAACAAATCTTCCACTCGAATTGTTCAAACTTTGGATTTAAGGCGCAGATACTTAGCCTCGTTAGTTTTGAGAAACTCTTATTCGAAGGTTTCATGTTTATTCGACACCTTAAGCCAGATAATCAGGCCCAGAAAGTGTTATAAGGACGCAGAAACTGAATTTCTTCGTGGAAAAAGAGATTTGACAATCGTGTCACCACTTATTTCTTGAAATTTGCGCAGGAATAAAGATGAAAAGGATAGACGAATAACACCTGTGCAACCAGAATTGAGCCACTCAGAAGCCAAAATGATTAACTCCGCTTTTTCAAATTCTTCCGATGCTCGATGCTTAACTCTTGGTGAATAAAAAAAATTTAATAAATCTCATTTGATAGAATTAATCATTTTGGCTGCTGAGTGGCTCAGTCAGGGCAATCTGATTTACAAGCAAACTGGCCTTTGAAAAAGAAAACAGTTAACAAAAAGCATTTAGAATTTTTTTCACAACGAATCAATGTCATTAAGTTCTCAACACTACAATTAGGTGGTCATCCAGGCAGAAACATAAACAGCAGTGCATTTTGCAATATTCAAGGCTGTGGCGTGTCAACATGTAAATTAAGAGTGGAAAACTTTACCTGATAAGATTGATAAACGACGTAGTAAAATTTTCATGGAAATGTAGTATGTTACGTAGTTCAGCGTTATATTACAATCTTGTAAAACTAGAGATAGAGAAGTAAACTAGAGAAACTAACTACTAGTAGCTAGTAGTTGACAAAAAATATTTTCGAGATGCAGCATTTAAGTAGTGTAAGTGAAAATTTATGTAAAGTTACGAATGAAAAACTGCAGCCAGCGTTTCTAAGAAGCGAACCTTGTTTTTCTTGCATTGCGAATTTCTTGTTTCGATCGATTCGTCGATGCATATCGAAAAGAACGTCCCTGTGTCCACAGTCATGCCTACTGCATTTACGAAATCACTTTCAGAATGCATAATAAGTTCCACTTAATGCTCTCAGCGATGCGTTTCACCCTCATATATCGTACATTTAAATTTGCGAACATTATGCTCTAAGGTCTTCATCAATGTCGAATAGAAATTACCATTTTTAGATAACCGCTGAAAGATACAACGCTATCTTTGTTTTTCGTAGTATATTTAGAATTTTCGACAAACGAGAAACATTAGAAAAGTGTCCCAATACGAATATCCAATTGAAGAAATTATAAAAACTATTTTTCAAAAGTAATTTGAACTTCTTTTTGTATACTCGAAGGAAAATTGTCATTTGCAAAAGTGACACACTTTTAATTCTTTTTTATCAATATTAAATCCTTTTATGTTACATTCCTTTCACTAACTCTTCAAGATAACTTCAATTTCATCCGTTATCCTCTTCATATCGAACATCTTTGACATTTTCACCCATAAAAATTCTCAGACACTTGATCCGCTCGTCACACATCTCACGTAATCAGCATACATATCATCTTCCATTTATAATTTCATAATCGCAATTATCGCTTAACATCAATATCGCACTATCTCTCATCTCTCCACGTATTTAACATACTCCGAATATTCAGCATACCACAGTGATTACGCTCACCCGTGATTTACAGTCTCGCGAGATTCACGAATCAGAGGTAAATTCTAATATCGCTAATTTCGTTGAATTTTCAGGTGATCGAGTTCTTCTCCGACCACGAGATGAACGTACGGATCTACATACTCGCGTTGTTCCCTATAATCTGCATGTTTGCCTTCGTGCCGAACTTGAAGTATCTCGCTCCCTTCTCCATCGTCGGTTTTCTGTTCATGCTGACCGGTGTTTGCGTCGCCTTGCATTATCTCTTCCAAGCTTTTCCAAGTCCTGGACGATTGAAACCGTTCACGCAAGTGTTGCCTGTGCCGATGTACTGCACCTTGTTCCTGTACTCTTTGCACAACGTGACATTGTGCATGCCGTTGGAGAACTCGATGAAGAATCCGCGACGCTTGCCGCGGCTGATAACGTTCAACATGTTAGCTAATACCTGTTTGTACACGACGTTCGGCTTCTTTGGTTACAACAAATACATGGACAGTACCTGCGACACGGTGATCAAGAATTTGCCATTGGACGATCCGTAAGTCGATCGTTTCAGTTTTTCAAATTCTTTCGTTGCTTCCTGGGGAATCGTTTTGCTCCTTTGGAGGGTGAAACGTTTCGTGAAAGGGGTAATTTGTTAAATTTGTTCAAGTAGGTCGTCTAATTATCTTTTTGTTTTTTGACTATGGTGATATGAGACAATAAATGAGAGGAAGCTTCACATTTGATTTGAAATTTTAGAGTCTATAATCATTTTGAGGTGATAGTATTGCGCATGTTTAAATGCCCATTAATATACAAGTAGAAAAAATATAATTGACGCTGAAAGAAAAAAAGAGAAAAGATAGTATTTATAAAAAAATTTGTTTTCCATCTTATTCACCCTTTGAAACAATTTAAATCACAGATTAAAAATTTTCTTGTATCGCCATAGTTAGAGAAGACAATTAGGTGGCCCATCTTGTGTATTCTTTATTTCAGCCTCAGAAATTTGGACTTGATTTACATTTATCCTAACTATAGGCACATGGCTAACGAACTTTTTGTCTTATTCTCCTAAGTTAGTTCTTTTATTATTATCGTACTTATCGATCTACTGTTTTCTATCTATTTCTTATCACCCTTCTTTTCTCTTTCAACTTTCTGAGCTAATTTTCTATCCTTTCTTTCGCTAACTACATCCCCTATCCTAACTCTATCTATTTCTCTGCTATTCTTTGCTGACGGGAGAACACCCTTGATGAAACTTTGGTATATAGTAGTTCTCACGAAAATATTCGATACGTATTTCTTTATATCTGCAATCGTCCACAGTGAAGGGGTGAAAATCGTCCTCAAAGTTGGAGATAGTAAATATATTCAGTGGAATAGTTTCCATAGTTCGGTAAAAGTTGACAAATTTTCTATGTTTCAGCAATAAATCTGGAAAATAAAAAATAATGAGAAGGTAAAAAGGTCATAAATAATTTTGCATCGAAAATAAAATATTACAAGTAATTCTGCATCGAGAATAAGAAATTGCAAATAACTTTGCATCGAAGATAAAAAATTACAAATAATTTTGTATATTTGAAATATTGTCCTTGAAAAATACAGCATTCGTCAATTTACACCTTTTCTCTATCTCTAATAATTCTCCAGATATCAGACCAAATATGTTTGCCACCCTAATCTTCGAGGGTGATTTGCACCCGTTAAATGTCGACAATTGCCGATAGAAAAGAAAACTTGTCGAATATATTTTTAACCAGCTACCATATACCACACTTTTGTCAATATCAATGATTACCGGTAACACCTTTCGCAAATATCACCTGCGACTTTTCCTTTACGAAAGTACGCACGTTCTTTATGGTAACACAAACGAATTAAGAAGACACGATCGGCTACTTTCGTTTTATCATCGTCTGGTGCAATGTTTTCGTACGAGGTGTTATGTCTGGCGTGAGTTTTGCGGTTTGTTTAATATAACGTTCTTAAATGAACCTGTAAACTCGTTAATTGGCAGGTAAAAAGTATTTGGTGTCAAGGAGGTGCCATGGTGCAACGATCTGTTTGCCTTTATCGTATTCCTTTTTTTCTCTTCTGAGATACAGGTGTCGTCTTCAAATTTTTACATTGATATTGAATTTTAGAACGAGGTTTGATATTGTGTGTCAAGTCGAATAAATAAGAAATACACTCGATGGAAGAATTCTTCGCTTGATTGCAGTTTATCTTGCGTTGTATAATTTTCACGGAGAATGTAGTTATTTTATTTAGAAATATAACATTTCCTATTAGCACGTAGAAAATTAATTTGCATTCGTTGCGTCGATAATTAAACAAACAAATTTTCCATTATGGGAAAAAGTATTTCGAGTAACGTCTTCTCTACTGGCTTGCAAACAAGAAGTTAACTTGTATTTACCTTTGCTGCCTTGTTTGCACACATTTTCCGGTATTCTTAGATACTGTACGGAAATGTTTTTCATCTCTTTCTCCTTAGTTTACTGTTGATAAGAATTATTGGCCTAAGAATTATTAGATTTACAAAATCAATGTAAAATTAAATAAAAGTTTATATAAAAGTCTAAAGGAAATACTAAATAATATAACGTAAACATTATTTATTGACTATTTTCTCTGCTGAAGTTGTACGAGGCTAAATAAATTTTATCGAGGTGTACGGAGAATTTTTTCACCGAGTGTACACAGTACTCGTTTCTCGTTAATAGAAGTTCGATTACTCGTATTACAGTAATCTTTCTACTTCGAGATAAATTGATAACTGAGCAACTATCTTTAGTTAAGTAATATCTGTTTGAGTGAATTGACTGGCAAAAATGTGGTGTATATAGTCGGGGCCACGATATAGCGGGGTCGTAAAATCGGTCAGACGTCAAAGTAAACATGTTTTAGCTGCCGGGACCCGAAAATTGACAGAGATACGAGCAGATAAGTACTTGAAACCATTGTCAGGACCGTACGAAGAATTCTTGTATCCAGCGAAAGTCAACTGATTCTAATATATTTACTGAAAACTGCATGCAGCTAGGACAAATTAGGGTTTCTCCCTCTGGGGGAAGCCGCTTTTGGAAGTACGGTTACAGGTAAAGGTCTTATTGATGTCTTTAGCATCTTAGTTTATCTACTCGTGTTATATACAGATAGAAAGTGCAAAAAGATTGTGTAGCTTAATATTAACATATTTTCCATTTGTAAATGAAATACCATTTTCTACTTGAAGTACCAAAGTTTATTGTTGGAACCCTCAAACAGACTGCAACACACGGCCTTGAGTGCCGCAACATCAATCGATGCCGATTCTTGAGAGTTTAATTTACGACCTCGCTATATCGTGGTCACAACTATACTTGAAAATGTTGATTTCCAGATGACATTGATTGAATGAGATGTACTGATGCGCTCTAGATTGATTACTCTGTTTCAATGTTTGATAAGTTTCAATTGCGCAGATTAAATTCTTTTGTTCGTGTTCTGCCCATTTTTCTGACGATTCGATGGAAGCAAGCTTGTCTCACAATGATAAGTGCTAATCTCGTAATCTTCGGGTAATATAAAGAATGCAAAGTGCGCTTTGTATTAACCGAGAAAAAATACGAGAAATGATTTTTATGGCGCTCGAGTGAGTAGGGTATTACAAGTTTATTTCGTTCTTTTCATATTCTTTCGATGAATGTTTTCGTTTTCTTTAGTCACACTTCTTTTTTTTTTTTTTTTTTTTTTAATTGACGTGAATAACAAAATGTTTTATTCAAAAATATGAAGAAAAGGTAAGAAGTGGAGACTGAAAATATTGACTTACAATTAGCAGGCTCTTTAAATATTTACTCGTTTTAAATTCGTTTCTTTTTGATACTTTACAGAAATGCGTGTGTTTATTAATTTGTAAAAAATAATTCATCGGTTGCTTTCGAAGTTTCATTCGGAAGCAAGTACTCGGAGTAGACACACAGTTTTATCAGAAGGTGAAATGATAAAATAGAAGCTTCGTTCGCAAATAATTAACGAAATTTACGAATCGTTGGGAAAAAATTGCGTTAGTAAATAGCGTAGACGTTTGTCAAATTCTGCAAACAATCTTATCCAAAGTTCTACAGTACGAAACATAGTTTCATTCCTCGTGTATGCGAAGTTGCTAACGTTGTGACATTCCAAACATCTAGAGAGCAACGATCTTACATTTGAAGCGTTTTCAGAATAATCGATTTTTGCAATTACAAGGAACTTTGACTTCTCTCAACGAGTCAATTTTCTCATTGAAAGAACATTCTTATTAAAAAAGAACAGTTTTTCCTAAAGAAAGGACTGTGAAATAAAGAATGATAAAATCTTCGTTTCTTTCCTTTCGTTTTGAATAAAACATTTTGTTACACACATCTGCGTCTTTCTTCTTTGAATGAATGAATTTTGACAAATTTTCTGGAAAAGTGAACGGTTTGTATGGAATAATTCACTAAACGAAAACAAAGTATTCGTTGGTTTTAAACAAATTTGCAAAATTATAATTTGATAGCAAGTATTATACTTCCTTCAAAAGATGTATTATACTTAAATTTATTTATAATTTTTAAAGGAATACAGGTGGAAAATTGTATTTTTATTCGAAGTTTTCATGTCATAATATTCTCCATTACAGTATATGTGTTTATTTACAAATGGAATCGTTTCAAAGTGTGTAAATATAAACACACTTTATCCATTATCATTGAAACGATACATTTGTTTCTAGCAAATCGAAAGAGAAAAATGAGCAAGACAATCTCTAATAGAATTCGCTATATAACATACAGAGTGTCTCCTTTATAACGTATATGCTCGATAGAGATCAAAACCACGTCCTTTACGTTCGTCTAAAATAAAGGAAACCGGGTATTTTAATAATCTAAATTACAATTATTAAAAAATAAAGCAAGAAAATTACGAATTTTCGACTAATATTTTCTGCATAAAGTGGCTAAAAAAAAGAATAGAAACATTTATTTCTTAAAATTGCGCAAATATACTTGACACAAATCGATCCTAACGAAAGCACCCAATATTTAAATACAATAGATTCGCAACGATTCGTCCTAATCGTGGTGCAAAATACGCGCGATAAAGATAAGAAAATAAATTTTTCGTCCCCTAATTCGACGACATTCCTAAACAACGAACATTTCTCTAAAGTGTTTATCGTAAGATTTATCGTTGTTTCTCTCGAGAGATGATCCTGTTTCTCAGCAAAGGTGCGTATTTACCGAAATTTCACCGTGAAATAATACGTGCGTTTGTGAATGAAACACACCATGCATAATTCATGCGTGTTTAAGAAAGTGGCACGTAAGAACGTGTTTTGACGACGGAAGTAGCGTGCAGGCCGTTTCATTTGCAAATATCCGCTGTAACACGGTGCATCCTCGAATGGGTGGCGTTTGCTTGATGCAACAGACAGGACAGGAGAGATATCTTTCGCGGTTCAGATAGGTATATACAAAGAAAACCACTTAAATAACACGTGTTCGTGAACCCGTGGCCGCGACCATTACGTTGGATTAAT